ACAGAGACCAGAGCGAGCGACAGCTCACTCACATTAATATTCCCGGAACATGAAACACTTGAAAATAACTTGTGGGAGTGGACCCCTTTAGAGATTTGCTTATAATTAATACAAAACAGTTCTTGGGGTTTTTTTGATGAGTTGGTTATAATTAATGCAAATAATTCTTGGGTTCTTTGGCCTAACAAACGTTCCTTGAGAGATGTTAGGATGGACCGTTAGGGTGTTGTTGAGGATGGACCGTTAGGGTGTTGTTGAGGATGGACTGTTAGGGTGTTGTTTAGGATGGACCGTTAAGATGTTGTTTAGGATGGACTGTTAGGGTGTTGTTTAGGATGGACCGTTAGGGTGTTGTTTAGGATGGACTGTTAAGATGTTGTTGAGGATGGACCGTTAGGGTGTTGTTGAGGATGGACCGTTAAGATGTTAAGATGGACTGTTAAGATGTTGTTGAGGATGGACCGTTAGGGTGTTGTTTAGGATGGACCATTAGGGTGTTGTTGAGGATGGACCATTAGGGTGTTGTTGAGGATGGACCGTTAGGGTGTTGTTGAGGATGGACCGTTAGGGTGTTGTTGAGGATGGACCGTTAAGATGTTGTTGAGGATGGACCGTTAGGGTGTTGTTGAGGATGGACTGTTAAGATGTTGAGGATGGACCGTTAGGGTGTTGTTGAGGATGGACTGTTAAGATGTTGTTGAGGATGGACCGTTAGGGTGTTGTTGAGGATGGACCGGTAGGGTGTGGTTGTGATGGTACTTGACCAGGAGACGGGGTACTGCAGTGCTCTCCCATGCCGCTGCTCACAGCGCCTCTGAGGGGGCGCGGTGGGCAGGGCGCCCAGACCCTTCTTACTATGCTGGCCTGTGTGCAGGGCAGCGCGCAGCCTCACTTCCTGTATGAGGTTCACCCGCGGGTCTGGAAACGGTGAAACTGCAGTCCTGGGTCCTAGCACTCCCGTGCAGGGAAGCCTGCCTTTCTCCTTCGCTCGGAGACACAGCAGCAGGCTCAGTCTGAGAGTCTACCCATGGCTTCAGTCAGCTCTGCTCCAGGCCCCGGGGCCAAAGGAGAGAGAGAAAAGGAGGGGGAAAGGCCAAAACAAAAACAACAAAAGGATGGCTGGGCCTCTCCCTGGACGCTAGCCTGTTCAGGAGAAGAGGAAGGTGAGAAACAGCCGCACACCCATGCCCACGGCCAGCTCGACTGCTTGGAAAACTCTCACCGGGACCAACACAGCCCTGCCAGTATCCTTGAACTTCACTTTGTCTCTTGATTGGCATTCTCTATGGAGAAAGTACCGCAATGGGAGAATGTTAATTTCCTTTCCCTCTCTTTGCTCCTTCTTAGATCTAGTCCTTGACTTTAGTGAAGTGCACTGTGTATTAGCTCGTTCTCAGAACTTGGCCAGTGTTCACAGTCTAATTCTACAGTCCTGGGGGCTACAGTGAAGAGATGAACCCCCTGTAGTGGGTGTGGACACCCCATGTTGCCAATTTATGCAAATGCAGCTTCAAGCCCTTCTTCCAAGAAACTGTGTTTCCTGGCTTCCTCCAGGGGAGAATTCTGGGCGCAGCGTAGAAGCAGATATGTCAAAACTTTCATGGTGTGCAGGGAAATGCAACAGGGAAGATGTGAAAACTTGAAGTTTCAGGCTGTAGGGCCTGACTGATTCTACCAGTGACGGGCAGATTTGACCAGTGACAGTCACGACAGATCTTATCGTGACCTGGAAATGACACCACCAGCAAACTTTCCTCTGGCTTTGAACTGTGTCCAGTAGATATCCTTGCCACCCTCTTCTCTAGTATTCCAGTTATTCCTTGATAACTGCGGCATTAGATTATCATGATCCTCTACTGTGTTCGCACCTGCGCCTCCTGTCCTCTGTAAATGCCTTGCCCCTCTGGGACGGACTCCGTGCCTCTCTGAGTCTCGCCTGTCCTTTGGGGGCACTTTTCCTTTCTCCGATCATCTCAGACTTCTCTTGTTCCAGTGTTGGCTGCCAGCTGGTTTCTAGGCCCTGATCTCTAACAGCGTTTGCGCAGTGGCCTTTGGAAGTCATCTCAATCCTAAGAGCCAGTCTGCAGTGCCTGGAAAGCCCACTCCCCACGGCCTCTGCGGCGGTACAGTTCTGTTTCTTTCTGCCCCACTTCCCTGTCGCCACAGTCACAGATCACACTTATGAGCGAGGTGTCTGCTCCCCTTTTGGTCGTGACGTGACCACAGACGCATCCTTGCTGGCCTTCTGTTCTCAGTGCCCCACTGGTCACTCCCGAAGGCTCCGTGACAGTGGGGCCAGGCAGTGGTTGTTAGCACACAGCATTGCAGGGGAACTTTGTGACGGGTGAGCTACGCTAGCAACCCCCGAACCCGAGGTCAATTTTAACATCGTTCATGCAAACAGACAGTATTTCCTTTCCGACGCAACGCAATGGGACGTACGGAGTACTCAGCCCTGGGTGTTACTTCCTAAATAATCGAACCTGAATTGAACTGAGTCTCCAGGTTTTGTGACCAGTTTATAGGAAGTATAGGGATGTGAGGGGCAGCACCACAGGGAAGATGTTCTCATGTCTGCAGCAAATAAGTGGCGCAGAAAGCTGCAGGTGGGGAAGGACGATTGGAGGTCAAAGGAGAGTTGAGGTCTGCACTTGAACGGACCCGGTCGGTGTTCTGCTTCAAGTGAATTATGAGAGGACAGCTGGGAAGGAGTTGAGTTTTCAATGTAAGCTGTGTGTCGAGTATATTCAGTATGTTACTTTTTGGGAGTGGTACTGGCATTGTAGTTATGTTAAAAAAAAAAGCCTTTGTGTGTCGGGCTTACAGAGGCATCACAGGAAAAATCAGAGGGTGCCTGGTATTTACTTTGAAACACGAAGGAAAAAGTAGATGTGGACAGATCAACAAGAATGGCAAAATGTTGGCAATTCGAAATGAGGGTGATAGGAATTTGTTTTTCAGAACTGTCTTGTGACTTTCTTTGTTTTCATAATAAAAGTTAAGACAAGAAAAGCCTTTGTTTTGGCCCTGGAGCAGGAGTTCTGGCTATGAAGAGCTGACTGGCCAGCTACAGTCAGTCAGGATCGCTGTTGTGGGTAAACATTTCATGTCCCGGTTTGTTTTGAATCTCCCGTGAGCATCTGCTCTGGCAGTGGGCGATGTCAGGGCGTCACATCAGGGTGTCACGTCAGGGCGTCACGTCAGGGCATGGCCTTTGTCGCCTGTCCTTTCACATGGCAGACTGGAAGGAACTCTGCCTCTGACCAGGGTGTTGTTTGCACCCCTTCTCAGGGACTGAACGGAGATGGGGAAGGACACTGTCACTCCCTAGCTCTTTTTTCTGAATCAAGCAGCCTGTAGATGGGACCCAGCGGTCTCCTGCCACCTTCTGCAGGGCCACTGGTCACATGCAGGTACAGGGGTGCAGGGGGGCGACCAGTACCTCCGACCGTCTACAAGGTGACCATGCCCCTCCCACCCATCACCAAGGAAAACATCTTCTGCCCTAAATGCTGCCTGGCACGGCCCCTTCCCTGTGGGTGGCCCACGAGTGCCAGGTGCCGACTCACGGCCCACGGCCGTGCGTTCTCCCTTGAAGGAGAGGGCCCACTGCTGGGCGCCCGTGTCGTAATGATTGCTTTTCTGCACTGTGTCAGCGATGATATGTGCTGTCAGACCTTGTCGTCTGATACAGAAATCGGGCAATAATTCACTCTGCTTTCCCTTCAACTGTGTTTATCTTCAGCTTTCTGACTTGCACCAGTTTTTGCCACAAGGAGAGACCTCTGAATGATGCCTTTGTGATTCTGCCTTCTCTCTGCCTTTAGTGACAGAACTAATTAGGTCTGTAGTCTAAGAATTGCTTTGTACTTGTCTAGGAAACGAGATTGGTTTATTGGGAATGACAATGTGCATTGTTTGGAAGACATGCCAAGGGCTCGAGTGGCCGTGCTTGGTGGAGTTTCCATCCAGTCAGTGATCTGAGAACCAGGGACAAATGGAAACCTGTCCCAATAAAACCCGTGCGTGCCGCATGTCATGCTTCCCTTCTGTGCTTTTCTGTCCCAGCCACTTGTATAAAATATTTATATGCGACGATTCACTTTTTCTAGAGCATTCAGATGATCTACCCATGCCTAGGTCCTGTTCACCATTCAGGTTTATAACATTATTGTGTTGCATTCTTACCAGATTTCCATTTGAATCCGTTTTCATAAATTCAGAGTTTAATGCTATGTAGTGTTAACTATAGGGACACCAACCGAAAGGTAAACAATGATGCACCTACAATGTGACAATGACCCTGTGACAGAGTGCGTCAGACTGAAAGTCAACAAAGACCAGCTGTTACATGAGGTTTGCAGCAACCGAGTGATGGAAGCTGACCATTTCTACAGTTCAGATTTCTATAAATCACCATTAATGTCACATTTTGAATTTTCTGGAATGCATGAGAAAAACACGCTTCATTGCAGTATCCTTTTGAAATGACCCAGTTATTTGCAGGCCCCGTGGTAGCCCTGGGTGGTTCCCGGCCCGCACCACGAAGAACTGCACCTGCCATCACAGAGCCCGGAGGGGACAGTCTGTTCCCACACGCATGTGTTCACAGTCTGTTCATACACGCATGCGTTCTTCCACAGCAGGGAGTTTTCCATCCGGTAAAGCCTGTCCTTGAGGACGGTGTTTTCCGAAGTGGAGTGTAGGGACCCTTGCCTCGAAATCACGTGGTGAGCCTGTTCAACACGCATACCCTCAGCCCCAACCTGCCCCCAGTCCCTGCTGGGCCCCTGAGCAGTGTCTCTGGGACCCTGGCCTGGAAACTTGAATTTTGCAAAACTTTCCCGCTTGAGTCTGTGCTCAGTACCGTTGAAGAACTGCACATGGTCATGCTCCGTGGAGTACCAACGCTGGGGTACCAATGCCCGCCCCATCGGGCTTACACGACGTGTTATTCTTAGAATTCATGATGAACATTTTGCCCTCCTTTCTGCCCTCAGGACTGGTTCATCATGTCTGTCACCTGTTCACCGAAACGGCCACCCTGTGCTTGGATGTGGACAACAAAAACAGCAACGAGACGGCAGGCGCGCTGCTCTGCTCTCTGCTGGACATCCTGCACGGCATGCTGACCTACACGTCCGGTGTCGTCCGGCTGGCCCTGCAGGTAGGTAGGGCGCCTCCCTCTGGCGTCCGGATGGGCCTGCGCTGTTCCTCTCTTCCCTTTTAGTCTCTCTGACCTCCCTCCGAGAACTTAGGTTCTCTAGAGAGAGGCTACCGAATGAGCCACCTTTGGTGCCCAGTGTCGAGAGCAGATGATGTGGTCACGAAACCTGAAAGGAGAGTGGGAGAGGCCTCAGCAGAGACTTCTGAGCACTATCATCATCCACCTCTCAGGTGGCCATTCCACCAGCCCCTGCGGTTGGCCAAGCAGCCTGCAGCCCATCCCGTCCTGGGTGGGACTCCCCCCGGCCCAGCAGGGAAGATTTGGGAATAATGGATTGAAGTTTTAGGCCCACACATACACATCCATTCACACACATACATGTGAATACATGTATTCACACACACACACACACAACTCAGTGCATAAACTCTAGCAATTGTTTTCCCTTGGGACCAATAACACGGAATCGCACGTGGATTTGAGAACTGGGAATGTGTTCAGTCAGGCTGCCCCAATGCTGCTCTAGGGAAGGAAGGGGATGGGGGTTTATTCGGCGCTCCCGTGTTAGGTTCTCCCACACGTCTGTGTCACCCGCTGCACGCTCTCTCCGACTGGCCCAGTCAGCTGATGCCCAGACCACGTGCAGGCACCCAGCTGCTAGGAATTCACCGGCATATTTCGGATCCTGGTAGAACTGCAGGAGATAAAAGTCAAATGGTAGCCAGTTGGCTTGAACAGATGCAGAAGCTAAAGTGGAAACCAAAGTGTTTTGATACCCGGCCAAGAGTCTGAGTAGCAGAACAGAGAAGGAATCCCCGGGCCCCACTTTAGTCTCCATCAGTTCTCCTTGTGGCAAATGGTCACTTTTCTCCACGGCAAAGTGGCTCAAGCATCCAGTCCGTGTGGTTTAATGAGTGATTCTAAGGTCTCCTCAGCAAACACGCTCGTTAGTACATGTTTGGCCCAAACTTGTAAAGAGAGGCGAATGGCCTTAGAACTACCAAGCTGTTCTTTGCTCATCCGTGATAATTCTCAGTTCTAAATTAATGCCGAGCATTGTTACTACTTACGGAATCCTGGATCAAGGGTTTAGCTTAGCTTTTCCTCTCTCCTAGTGTCTTTTGGAGAATTGTTTCTTAGCTCAGTTTCCATAGCGGTGGTTTTATGTAATCCTTCGACATGCAGTCTCTAGTCACTCCACGGATGCTTTGATGATATCAGTGTGTAAAAGGTATGTTTTGTAGATTGTAGATCAAGGGGATCAGGAGTTTAAAAATTCCAGAACAACAGAAATCCTCTTTTATCTTAAGTGATTATGAGGTAGTCAAGGGTGTTTAAAAGAAAAACTCCTTTTATAAAAGTATTTTCTAATTCCGTGTTCATTTGCCCGGGTACCAAGAGATCACTGTCTCTGATTTTTTCATTGCCCTCAGCACTATCACACGCTCTGCGCCGTCATCTTCCTAAACCCTCTGCCAGGTATTGCTTTTGGCTTCCCTCCTGACCTCTGGGATGCCTGGCGTCGGGCTGACCGGGTTGGGGGAAGGTCAGGGAGAGAAATGGGGAGTGCGTCGAACACACGGTCTCCTCGCACACCGAGCTGTGTGCACTTTCCAGACCCGCAGTCGCCTCTCCCACTTGTAAACCCCACCCCGGAGGTTCTTCCCCGTCTGGAACTAACAGGAAGGTCTTTGACACGGGAGGGTTGAGGGATTGAGGGTTGCCGGGTTTGAAACGTTGGTAGCATGTAGAGTTATGAAGCGCTTTTCATTTTCCAGGAGGAGAGTGACATGGTGCAGGAATGTTTCCCAGGGAAGCGGGGAGAGGAAGGAGGACGGTGTCAGAATCTCCCTTAGGGGTTCGGCCCCGCCCCACCCTGCCTTGTGATTCGAACTGGTCCTGGCTTCAGTGAGCTTCCTGAGGGTTGCGTGCGAAAGGCGTGGAAGCAGTGACAGACATGTGCTCTTTGCGCTTTCCACTCACAGGGTGCTCGGGCCCTGCGGGCTGGAGTGCCTTGGATGCAAAGCCCAGCCGTGCCCCGACCCTTCCTCCTGTAAGACCCTGGGCACGTTGCTTCACCTGAGTCTCGCTTTCCTCCCCCGGAAAGTCGCTGTGATCGTAACTACTCTGCAGGTTTGTTGTGGGACCTCAGGGAGAGAGTAACAGAGGTGTAGGCACATGTGAATGTATACACACCCCTGGCCCACGGAAGGTAAGCAGCGAATGGTGGCTGCGTCCTCAACGGCGACGAGAAGAACGGCGCTCGCCTCCACGTCCTGTCCATGGAGGGTTTCCTGTGGCTGGGGGCTTCCTTATCATGTGTCTCGGCACGTGGGACTGTTTACTGAGTAAACTAACTTCTAGCAGGCTTATGGGACAGGAACTCAGGTTTTACTCCAGACTCACGAGCCCAGCCCAGGGCTAGGCCTAACCCCCAGATTTCATCAGGGATCCCGAGAGGAAGGGCCTTCCCCCTCCGGGAGCTTCGGTTCGGTAGGGAGGACCGGCCGCACACACAGAGTGAGGCGAACCATCACCTCATCCCACCCGTGACAGTGGGAGGGACAGTCTGCTGCCGAGTGAATGTGGGGTTGGGAAGGTGGAGGCGAATATTCCACAGTAAAAGCCAGGCCACCTGACTTCCCACTCTGGGTCTTGTCTGTCGTTTCCAAGGTGATGGGGGCGGGGGTGCAGGGTGGGGGGGAGCTGGCTCTGCAGCTCTCCTGGTAGGAGGACGGTTCAGTGGCTGCTGATTTGTGGAAGTGCTGGGATTGCCCCAGGGCTCAGACGTGGTCCCTGAGGCCTGTTGGTCACACACACACACAGAGGTCATGGGGTCGGGGGAGGCTCTGGTCTCTATTTTTAGTATCTCTTGCAATTACTCAGTAGGCTCCCCTGTGGCTTCCCCTCATTTTTCCTCTCTGCTGGCCTCCCTCTGTCTGGTTGTTGAAGTCAAGTGAGATTTGCCTGCCACGGCCCCTCCACCTCATCGTACCTCTCCTTTCCTTTGAAGACTTCAGCACTTTATTGATGATGTGGTTTTCAAACTCCCTGGCGGGACACCCAAGACCTCATACAATCCAGGCCCAGAATACCTTTCCAGGCCTGTCCACCAGGCCTCCGTGCTGCCAATCCATCTCCACACTGCACAGTCAGCTTGGGATTTTCCAGAAGGATCCCGCACCTTCTCGCCCCAGTGCCTTTCCTTGTGGGATTCCCAGCCCCTGCAGCTCTGCTCCCCTTGTGGCCCTCACTCCCACTTCCCAGTGATTTAGTCCAGTGGCTGCCTCTCTTCCTTCCCCACCACTTAAGCTCCCTTTCCACGTCTGTAGCAGCTCTCTCGCTCCGCCCTTGGCCATCATTTGGAAGCCGGCCCTCCTCTTCATTAAACTGTGAGACCCCACAGCGTGGGCATGGGCTGTTTCCTCTGTGCATCGAGGGCGTGGGCAGGATGGTGTCTGGGGAGCGTGGTGAGTGCTGGCTTGGTCTAGGCCACACTGTGGCAATCTGCCCCCACTGCGTGCTCACACCTGCCTTAGCATCAGACAGCAACCTCCTGAGGCATTGCCTGTGCCCTGTTCTCCACGGACGCCTTTCCTCTGCGCTTATTTAACCTCTCATTGAGCACCTGCCCCCGTGCACTGGATTCACGTAGCGATGCCAGATGCAATGGAGTCGCGTTACCTCTGCCTTTCCATGTGCCAAGACGTCCGCTGTACTCCTCTCTGTCACATTGAGCCACGCTGTACTGCCATCTGGTATTACATACGGCTCATAGGTTGGCATTCTCAGGTTTTACATGTTTGAAACTACTGAATTTATACTTCCACATAGAGTTCCCGTCTGAGATCCATACACAGAACCTCCAGCAACTCCCTCCACATGACCACCAGGATGCCCCCGACCTGCTGAGGCTGAACGTGCCCACAGCTGAGCTCTGGGTTCACCTCCCACTCCATTCTCTCACCTGCAAGCGCCGCCGCCCTCATCCCGCTCTGCCGGCCAGCACCCTGGGAGTCGGGCTTAACCATTCCTTCGACTTCTTGTTCCATATCTGGTCTGTCACAGAGTAATGGAGATTTTTACCTTAAATATCTAACAAATCCAGCCACTTCTCTGCAACTCTTCCGCTCCCACCCAGCTCAGTCTGTTACCCCTCTTGCCTAGACTGTAACAACTGGGGGGTCAAGGCCGTGGGCCAGCTAATGTGAAAAGGCCGATACTCTCTTGCAAATAGTGCTTCAGAGGCGGAAGTGAGCAGCCAAGGCTCAGGACGGTTCAGGCCTTTGGGATAGTGCTGCCTGTTGGTTTCTGGAGCGAAGTCCTAGCATCGTTCCTCTATGGTACAAGTTGTTAACGTCAGGCAGGCAGGCGTCTGATTTTTCAGTCAAGTTCTTCTGAACCCAAGAAAGCAGGCAACTCAAAATCTGTCCCTAGGCCTGAGGTGCAGAAGGACGCGTGGCATTTGTGAGAAGGGCCCTGGAGTCCAGGGTAATGACCGGGTGGGGCAGCCTGCAGCCGGCTCGGAGGCTCTGGCAAAGGGCATGGCCTCCCAGTGGCTTCATTTCTTGTGACTGAAATTAAGAACAGGGAGTGTGTGCATAAAATGTGTATATTCTGTAGCAATCACGATAACTGATCTGTTTTTTCAAATATGAAATTACTCATCTGGGTTAGAAATCTCCAGAATTAGTTCTGTAAAACTCCTGGTAGAAGGCACACTTAGCATTAAAGGCACTCACTTCTCGTTTTTTATTTTTAGTTCTTAAACAATGTAGACCTTATCTGAAGACCGTTCGTGCAGTAGTACATTGAACACATATTTAGATGTGGTCTGTGCATGCATGTGTATGTGTGTGGGGAGCAGTCATAGCGCATCTGCTGTGCACTATGGAACGTGCAGAAAAATGCCCAGGAGACCTGAGCGTGTGTGACCTGGACTCGTGTGGCCTGGGTTCGTCCCCCAGCTTTGTCACCCGTTACATGTGGGGCTTTACACAAACTACATAACTTCTCTGGACTTCCCTTTTCTGAAAATTGGGGGTCACAGCACCGTGTTTCGGGCTCGTTGGAAAGCAAGTGCTTGTCTGCCGCAGCCTGTGAACACGACCCTCACTTCCCCAGTGACAGCCCTCGCTGTGGCCGTCCCCGTGGACCGCCCAGGTCTGCCCCTGCGGCCTGAGCTGGTGGTGGGGGTAGTGCGTGCACTTTATCACGTCATCACGTCGGAACAAAGTGTAACTTGTCTTCGGGGGCCGAGGGTGAATGTTCCTCGGCCGTCTTTGTCTGCTAGACTGAGGGAGGCTGGCTGTCCGAGACCCACCTGTTTTCTCTTCTCCTGTTCAAGGCTCAGAAGTCTGGCTCAGGAGGCGACACGCAGGCCGCAGAAGACCTGTTGCTGCTCAGCAGACCCCTGACCGCCCTCATCAGCCTGCTCATTCCGCTGGTAAGAGCACACCTGTGTGTGTCTTTCAGAACATGGCTGAGGCCGAAGTCATTTTCTTTGAATGTCACGACGTCTGGCGTCTGGGTGCTATGTTCTTTCCAGACTAGAGTCAGAACAGATTTCAGAGGAGTGTTTGGCTTGGCGTTGCTTATTCCACTTTGTTTTAAAACCAGGTGGCCTAGCTATTTAAGTAAGGCAGAATCTCAGACCCTCCCTAATGAATGTGAGGTTAAAAAAATGTTCGAGAAATGAATTTCAGGAAGGGAAAATTCATTACGGGGATCAATTCTCTTTCAAAACAGTTCTTTAGAGTTTTGCTTGGCATGCAGGACTCCCCAGAAATGAAGATGTACAGACACATCCCCTCAGTCTCCACAGAAATAGAATGAAATGAGTGGAATTAGATAAAAGCAGGTGAGAAAGAGGACACGTGACCACTGGATACAGGAAAAGAACCCAGCAGAAAGTCGGAGTTTGGACCAACCTAAAGGGGACCCACCGTTTAGACACATGAATGACCTTCACCTTGGACAGAGCGGTCAGACAGAGGGTCGGTTGGGGACATTCCACAAAACCCCCGGAAAACCTCTCCAGATTTGGGGACCCAAGGGCTAGGGTGCAGGTAACCTGAGACATCGGATCACCTGTGACCTTTCCCCTCACAGGGGCACACAGCTCTTTAGTTCTCTCAAGGCTGCTGGGGTTTTCCTTTCTCTGCCCTTGGACTTGAAGGAAGGCAAATGCAGTTTGAAGAGATAATTCAGTAGACTTCATTGTAGTCATCAGCTAAAGGTTTGGTTCAACTGAGAAAGAAAAAAGGGGGAAAATCAGTCATTACTGGGTTATTTTAAATAACAACATATATGGAATAGAGCAGTCACCAAAATGAGGTAGTGGACTCTCAGCGGAGTGAGGGAACAACCCGAACCCTGGACCTGGGTGGGCCCCCGACAGCAGCAGGGTCTTTGGTATAGAATTGGGCATGAAGTTGCAGGGAAAACAGCAACCCGAACCAACTGCTGCAGCTCAGAGTCTGAGGGCTGAGCCCCACAGTGAATTCCCCCAGGGGGCGGGAGGCGAGGGAGGTTCCGGTGACCGGAGAGAAGGACTGACACGCCACACGCTCTTCCACGAAAGACCCGAAGTGGCCCCGTTCGATCACAATGCGTGCGTGTGTGTGTGTGTGTGTATCCATGGAGAGAGGGACAATATATTACATATAGGATGATTACACCTATAGCAAATAAGAGTTAAAAAATAGTTTCAGAAGGGCATACAAAGAATTCATTATAGGCAGTTTCTGGGACAGTCTATTTCACGTATGTATCTTATACACAAAGTTTTGTCGTTTGCCGCATTCTGAGATTTGTTTCCTTTCAAAAGGTGAATTTATTCCAATTGAATTTGTTAAACTCATCTCTGGTGTTGATTTTATTGTCTTATGCCATACTTTCTCCCTAAATGTCTTCTTGTACTAAATATAAGGTTTAATCACACACCCAAAAAAACCTTCAACAGGCGAAGAGAAGGATTCGACAGTGACAGTGGTGAGGAATAGAATCCATGGGAACTTTTCCTGCCAGGTGTCAGCACAGGACAACACAGACAGAAGGGCAGAACGTGTGCAGGGAGAAGTCACCCGTGGGGACACGGTAGCATTCGGAGACCAACACCCCTTTCTCACTGCTCGACCGACCCAGGGTAAAAAATAACAACAGAGCAGGCCTTGACATCTAGGGCCTGTGGATTACCTGGGGCCCACGGCTTGTGTTTGTAAATGGGGTCTTATTGAGCGCGGCCGAGCAGACAGTTTGCTGACCCGTCGCCTGTGGCGGCGTCTGCAGCTCAGTGCTGGAGTTGAGAAGTTACAGCAGAAACCTCACTGCCCACGAGCCTGATTATTGACTGTCTGGCTCTTCCCAGAAAAAGCTTGTCGACTGCCATGTAGAAGGTGTGAAAACTTTAACAAGATCTGATAGAACTGTACCCACCTCTGTACCTGAAAATAGAGACCGCACCTTCTTTTCAGTTTTCTGGAAACAGTTTCAAAAAGTGAACCGTGCTGTGCTATGTTCTGTTAAAAGAATATCAATAAATTCCAACGCATAGGAATTCTTCAACCGTAATACAGTTTGACTGGAAGGAAAATCACAGTCGGAGGTGCACTGTTAGCACATGCTATCCATGCGCACAATCGAAGAATCAGAGGTGAGTGTCAGTCTGCGTCCCATCAGAACACAGACACCACACAGTGACTTAAAGGAGAATTTCAACAGAGGGGCTTACTAAGCTCTGATAGGAAAGTGACTGTGAGATCTTAGAAGAACTCTAAAGGATACCCTGAAACTTGAGAGGGTACGGACTCGAGAGGGGGGTCCCTCCTCCCCCGAGGCTGTAGGCCGGCCTCCTGGGAGAAGGCCTGACTGCAGCCCACAGGCCGGTGGACAGGTTTGCTGTGTTTGTACTGGACACCACAGCGGAGTCACAGAGAAACGTAGGCAGGGACGATGATTCTGGGCTGCTCAGGCCAGAGCTGGCCCACCGTCCCTGGGAAAGTGGGGACCAACCCTTGAGGGCACGGGGCATCCTAGCCAGTGGGCAGGAACACAGCGGGAGGTGGCGTGCCGCTGCTGGTGGGACATCTGGGGTGCCCAGCGTTTATGCAGAGAGGACTGTAAGGCACACAGGGGAGCTGGGGTGCCGGTGCCCGTGGGAAGCCTGGAGCACTCGGCATCTGTCAGGCAGGGTGACAGGACGTCACAGGCCCTGGGCGAGGGTTGCTGAGGGGCCACGTGTTCTGGGCCCCTCGCTGGATCATATCCCCAGCAGATGCCATTGCACCCACACGTCGGGTGGGCCCCTTCGTCCTGCAGTGTGTTGTCTGGGGGTTTCCCCGGCTGTGTGGGGCCCTGTGCTCATGTTATCAGTGACCCGATCGCACTTAGGTTCCGGAAGATTGGTCGGGGTCTGCCTAACGTGTGTGAGCCAGCTTGCGCGCCTGCACTTCTATCACTGGAGCCGTCGGGGTTGAACGTGGCCGGCAATGAGAACTTGGTGATGCATCTTCTCTGGAGAAGATTAACACGTCAAGAGCTGTGGACCAAGTGAAAAAAGTCGTAATTGTGGTGGCAATTGAGGACCTAAACCAGAGCACGCAAGGGCGAGGACGAATTTGATGGCAGTTGTTAAAAGTATAACAGGTTACCGAGTGAGGTGCGGGGCTCACTCCCACAGGGAAAAACAAACTGACTTCCATTTTCACCTGATGGGTCATTTTGGGAGCATTTTGCCTGAAGGCAGGTGGATGACTCGTTAGTGTTTCAGGTCCTTCCCAGGAATGAAAGTGAACACACTTGCCCTCAGGAGAGGACACCTGCCACCCGCAATTCATGACCTGTGTTTGTACTGGACACCACAGCGGAGTCACAGAGAAACGCAGGCAGGGACGATGATTCTGACTCTGTTCTGCGTGGGAACTGCTTTGAGAATCGGGTGATTCCTGGCCCTCCTTCCAGAAAAAGGCTCAGAATCACTACGTGCAAAACTCCACACACACTTCACAATTTCTGGGGGATCTTTGAACCCTCAGTTGGGAGCCAGTGTCAGATGTGATGCATGAAGGATCTAACGAGTTGGCTGTGTCTCCCGAGGAACAGACAAAGCGAGGTCATTGTTTGACCTAAATATTTTAGCCCTTGACAGGAGAAAATGGGAAGGCCGGCTGCATACCCCAGGTAAGTTTTGTAACAGGTAGTTCCTCTAAGAAATTGCGCTGCAACCTCCTGCTCCCTCAGTTAAAATAGGTATTTTCAAATTTGTGAGATATTTAAAAAATGTTTCTTTATCCTATATAAGTGATGCCAATATTTAGCCTGGTTTGTACATTTCCTAGTAAGCATGCCTTTCATGACCTTTGGAAAGATGCCCCTGTGGGGTGGGTTAGGGCCACAGGCCTCCCCCAGCATCAGAATGGGAACTCCTTCCTGGGCTGTGTGCCCGGGGGCCGCGCTGTGTCCTGAACGTTAGTGAGTCTGCTGGTGAGAACACTTCAGGTTGTGCCAACTTACAAATAAATTGTGGCCTGCACAGTGCAGGAAAAAACAAATTTTTCTTTCCATTCTTTAATTTCCTCCTCTCGAGAAATAACCAGAACAATTTTTCTCTTTATGTAGTAATGGACTTGGACTTGTCTTACCTTTCCCTTGTCTACTGCCTTCATAGTCCGTGGCGTGAAATATAGGTGATGCTCTATGGTGGTTAGGTCGTAAAGGGTCAGAATCTGGTGATTCTGAGCCTTTTTCTGGTGATGGAGCCCAGGAGTAAGTGCCAAGTGGTCCGTTTGCACGTGACACCCGAGAGAGTAGGCGCCTTATTAGCTCTGTACTAAGCAGCTGCTCAGAAGGGTCACGCCCCATTTGATGGGGACAGCGCTCTTTCTGATTAGCCACTGCCCACCTGTCTAGTAGGTTCCTCCAACACCCCAGATTGAATAGGGTTCAAACTAACTCATCGTCGCCTCCTTAAAGCTGTTCCTCCTCCTTGCTGTTTGTCAATGAGATGTAGTATCTGTCAGGGAGTGACGTACAGAAGGAGGTTGTGTAAATGTTTACAAATAGACTCCCAAGAAAAGAGGGAAAAGACTTTTGGAGACCACTGACAACAGCAAAAGTACAAATGAACAGTGTGGATTTCACCAAACACACCTAAGCTCAGTAGTATTTTTAAAATGTTCCCAATTACTGTGTATGGATGTGAAAGTTGGGCAGTGAAGGAAGCTGATGGGGGGGAATGGGCTGGTGTGAGGCGTGGCGCTGGAGGGGAGTTGTCCGGACACCCGGGGCAGCCAGGAGGACGCACGAGAGGGCCCAGAGCAAGTTCAGCCAGAGACACCGCTGGAGGCAGAAATGACAGAACCGAAGCTGCCCTGCGCTGGGCACGTCACGAGGAGGCAGGGTTCTTCGGGAAAGACAGTGATGCTGTGGGAAGGGCAGGGGTGGGGA